GGGGGCATCCTTGTGGTGGTGGAATTTTGCGAGCATCCTTGGCTCCACAGTGTGCACAGTCAACAACATCTCCAGTAGCAAGGCCAGGTTGTATGAGAGCTGTGAAAACTCCAAAGGTGATGGCTGAAATTCTCATTTTAATTTTTTCTCAATCAACAAGGTGTCTCTGGTGGGAATTGAACCAATATTTCACTTGTGAAGTTGAGTTTCAGAGGATTTGCATCTGACCGCTGGGAAAATGATTGGGGTGTATCCAGCCTATCTCATACACGTTAATTATACCACTGGTCTGTTTGAGATGGTTGGATAACTAACCAAGACAAGAGACCAATCAACCAAAGACCTTGAGACTATTAATGCATGATCATAATTAAAAATTGATTAAATTAACAAAACCAAGAATTGAAAAGACAATCACATGGAACCAAAACAGCTTCATGCAATCAAGTAAAGGCATGTGAGCAACATCAATGGACAGTTAGAAGCTGATGTGGTACATTTTTTTTGCTGAGAACACAGATTTCAATTGATTACATTTTACAAGAAGATATTATGAATTTGGTTTGAAAAGGACAGTGGATTGTATTAAAAGACATGTACATTTAGTATAGAAAATTGTGAAAAAGGGGGAATCCATATGTAATTGGTTGGCAGCAGAGCCACCTGTAGCCTCTAGCACATGTAAACATCATGATTACTAGCATTTTGTATGAAGGTGGAAAGACTTTTTTTTCTTGTGACAATGGTAGTCAGTGGAAAACTTTGTGTCAAGATCTACTGGTCTCCCAGAAGCAATTTAGAGCCTTGAAAGCTAGATTTCCCAGCAAAAATCTAGACTTTCTGGGTATATATCAATATCTGCAAGGGTCCCAGATTTGACAGGAAGTACCAACACTGTAACAGATACGATACACTGTGTGTATCATGGAGAATTCTGCAAAGCTGCATGGCCAAAAACCAAATTTGTTGATTCTCCTTGCAAATAAAAGCAGATTGGACAGATAGTTTTTTTTATTGGGGCTCAGATACATAGTGATACATGGCAGATACATGGGAGATACCATATCTGTTTCAGCGTTGGAAGAACTACCATATCCCATTTTTTTCCATTTATTTGAAAAGTTATTCCATGGCAGGCAGTCTTGAATTGCCACTGTTGATAGGTATGTTTCTGGGAAACCTTCACTCAAAGAAGTGAAAATATGCAACATTTTCATTTATAACTTCAGATCTCACATGTCTTCCATCACCTGAGGATGTGGATGCTGCAGATATTGGTCTTACATTTGAATCTTTTAAAGGCGGCTTATTTTCATGTGTACAACCTTCCTGCTTTTTAAAATCCAAAAATTTCTTGTTTTTGACAGTAATTTCCTTGCAAGTAGGTTTAGAACATCTGTAGTAATTTTTGGTATGCTCTTTACCACATGGGATTCCATCTTCAATCATTTCACTACATGGTGCTTTTTTTGGGTATCCTGGCAGTGATAACTTCCAGGAATTTGCATCCTTGCAGATGGCACAGTAAACAGAAGTGTTACCAGGCATGCCAAGTTGGATGAAAGCCATCAACACACTGCAGATGGTGATGGAAAGTTTCATTGTACAAATCATGAATTGGAATGAAGGCTGAAGTGGGATTTGAACTGGTTTTTCACTTCTAGCGTAGCGTAGCAAAAAACCGCTAACACTACGGTTTTTGGATGAAAAAAAGGGCCGCTACGCTACGCTTTTTGGGCCAAAAGCGTAGCGTGGCGTAGCGGCCCACCGCTGGTGCAGGGTATTGATAATTTTCACTGGTCATACATGTATCACCTGACAATCTGGGCTCATTGGATGAATGAACAGATAAGAGGTACAAGATTACATTGACAACTCTACGTAAAACTGCAGGCTTTATAGTTTCTGACACTGCCACTCCATGTTAAAATCCCCCAACTGTTATATTCATTCTTTTTTAGATGCCTTGAAATTTCCCCATAAATTACTGGTAATTTTCTAGCGATAGACTGGGGTAATGTTAAAATTCAAGTGCTTGAATGGCAACCAGGGTATCCCAAATATCAGTAGATTTGTTCTTTTTTCCTGAACCTGTTCCCAAGTTGCTCTTTTTAGAATTCAATTGGAGTAGCTCTCAGTTTCCTTTATTATACTCAATCATTCTTAGTATTTTTCTTCAATTGGTGGTCATATTTTACAGCCTTCCCTCCAGTTCAACTTCAGTTGAGAATGTATTTATACTCCATTGTCAGGGAAATCTGAGATGACAAAGGGTCTTTTGTATATTTCAGTTCTCCTTTCCCAGTGAAGAATTCCAAATTTTCTTATGGTTTCAGACATCTATTTACATTGATTTAAAGGTAAAAAATTCCAATACTCCAAACTGCTCTTTTGAGACTGCAGGTTTTAATAGTGGGATTCAAAGTTGATTTTTAAACAGAATTCTACATGAAATCATAAGCTCAAGAGGGTCAAAATTTCAATTTTCTGAGACTTCAAATTCCCCTTTGTTGGAACATTTGAAAAACTTCTATGAAATTCATGATTTTGTGGAGAATGGTGCTCAAAAACAAATTTGAAACCCCCTATGTAATTACTCAAAAACCCAAATTTCATTAACTTCAATATTGCCTTTGTAGGAGCCGATCCCATAGTTGTATTCATCAATTGAAATCATTGCTTTCAAAACAGACAACCAATGTTTTTGATTTAGAGCTAATCAATGATTCAAAAGAAGTGATGACTGTAACATTGATTTAGATAAAACTAAAAATTGATTGCATTTTGGATTACAGTGGGAAGCCTATATTTTTTGGTTAGAATGGGAGTTAGTATCCCTTTGTTGTGATTTGTTCCAAAAACATATTGTGTGGTGGGCATTATTAAATTGCCGCTGTTGGTGGGTATACTGCTGGGAAACCATCACTCAAAGAAGTGATAATATGTGACTTTGTCATTTATAACTTCAGATCTCACATTTCCTCCTGTTTCTGAAGATGTGGATGCTTCAAAGGTTGGCCTTATATTTGATTCTGCCAGCCAGTTATGTGATTCTGCCAGCCTGTTATTTGATTCTGCCAGCCTTATATTTGATTCTGCCAGTGAAAGCTTATTTTCATGTGTACATCCTTCCTTCTTTGTGGCATCCAGAAACTTTTTGTTTTTCACTGTTATTTCCTTGCAATCAGTCTTGGAGCATCTGTAGTAAATTTTGGTGCGCTTCTTGGTGCAGAGGCTTCCATCTTCAAGAATGGCACCACATGGTGCCTTTTCTTGGTATCCTGGAGGTGAAAATGGCCAGGAATTTGGGTGCTTGCAGATGACACACTGAATACGACTGTTACCAGCCAGGCCAGGTGGGATCAATGTCATGAACACACTGCAGATGACAATGGCAGGCTTCATTGTAGAAATTATCAATTGGAAATAAGAATTCAGAGAGATTTGAACAGGTGTTTCAATTAAAAACTTGTTTGTGAGGGTGGCAATTGTGCAGAAGATGTTTCCTGTCTTTTGGGTGAATGTGCAGGTATTGATGATCTTCCATTTGCCATACATGTATCACCTGGATATCCAGGTTCATAGGATGAATGAACAGACAGGAGGTCCACATGTATGATCCCAAAAGATTAAATCTACAACCCTGTGTAAAACTGCAGCACACAATGCTATTTTCTGATACTGAAACTCGAGGTATATTAAGTGCAATGATAATTACACTCCCTCCCCCCTCCCACATACCCCTTTTTAAGGGGGGGGGGGTTTGCTCCATGCCCCTATGTGTGCTCATCTCCACAGGCATAGGAGCCTGTAGTACCACCCGCCTAAAAAGGGCAGGTTGGCCTGCACACCTGGCCTGGAGGGCCAAGAGCTTTCCCTCCTGGCCTTTGAGGCTTGAATGGCCTTGAATGCCCCGAGGCTTCCTCCTGGCTTTGAAGGCTTGTACTGTCTTGAAGGCCGGGAGAATTCCTCCTGGTTGTCAAGACTGTACAGTCTTGATAACTGGGAGGTTTTTACAGTCTTGAAGATTAGGAGAAATTAATCCTGGCTTTCAAGGCTTGTGCAGTCTCAAAGGCCCCTTCAAGAATTGTACAGAATTGAAGATTGCAAGGCCTACTGGCCTTTGAGACTTTTCCATGAAGACTTTTACAGCCTCAAAGATCAAGAGAAATCCCCCCTGGCCTTTGTGACTTTTATGGTCTCAAAGACTGGGAGGAATCCCTCCTTGCCATTGAGACTTGTACAGTCTAGAAGACCAGGAGCAATCAGCCAGGGGGTTTACTCCCAGCATTTGAGAATTGTAAAGTATTGACTCTCAAAGGCCAGGAGGAAACCTGCTGGTTGTCAAGACCTTACAGTCTTGAAAGCTGGGAGGGTTCACCCCAGCCTTCAAGACTGTGCAAGTCCCAAAGGCCAGGAGGAAACCTCCTGGCCTTCAAGACTGTACAAGCCTTGGAGGCTGTGAGGAAAGAGTCATTGGTAGGCTGATGCAAGCAAAACACTCCATAGTGTTTTGCTTCAGCCTGCCCTAATCTGGGGCATGCAGGCCAACCCACTCTTTTTTTGGGTGGGTTGTACTGCATGCCCCTGTGTCAAATGTTAGCAAAATGAGGGGCAGGGGAGGAAGGGAGTGCATTTATCAACACACACATATTAATGCTTCTGTAGATGCCTTGATTCTTTCCCAAGAAATACTGGTGATTTCCTAAGGCCAGCCTAGGGTAATTATATTTGAGACAGTGTTTGCAGTTGAAGTGCTTAAATGGCACCCAAGGTATCCCAATTATCATGAGATTTGATTTTTTTCCTTTTCCTAAGTTGATATTGTTTGAATCCATGCCTTGTAGCTCTGAGCCTTTCCACTTACATTCCTTATTAGCAAATCTTCCTTTCCGTCTTTATATTTCCCAGCCTCCTCAATAGTTTAGATTGGATTTTTTTTTCTGGTTTATCATTATGTTTTTTGGCACATTTTGCTTGCCAATGATAGCTTGAGTTTAAATATCCATCAAGGTTTTCCCTCTTTTACTCTCTCACTCTTCCATTGGCTAGGAAGGGGCATAAATGCACCCCTCCATAAATGAAAAAAAATGCAGACACAATGGAAAATGGCCAATAATTAAGAAAAACCGGAAGGGTGTGCATCAACCAGGCAGCTTCCATGCATACACAATGTCACATAGAACAAGGGAGTTGTTAGGATGAATCTAGCCTAAGGAAAGACACGATGAGCATGACAACATTATTGAAGACTTGTGTGGATGTGATGTTTGTTTGAATGCTCCATATATACCAATGTAGCTGGATCCTCCGACTCCAAAGTCCTGATCCAAACAAGCTCAAGGGGTTTATATGATATCTACATTGATCATTGACAAGACACAACAGAATACAAGCCAACCAAGCACATTGTTTCTGATATCTATAAGGATATCTCATTGGATGAAAACTCTAGAACAAAAAGATCTGCTGATTAGGAAAGGAGGACATTAGCAACAGCAGGGGTGAAAAGTAGAGCCATTGCTATCTCGATAAAGCAATCCAATTTTCTATATAATTTCTCTTTCAGGTTCTCGCAAGACGTTTTTTTTTTCTCTTTTTTTTCTTTTGGCTTGTGAGGTCACACAAAACCTTCAAAATATTTATCGTTTGATTGTCCCGAGATAGGTACAGGCTGTGCTGTCTGGGTTGTTTTGGTGACTGAAGAGGGAAGCGAATAGTCGTCCAGAAGAGAGTCGAAAGATGAAGCTGTAACAAGGGTCGAACACCAGTAAAGATAATGATTTTTTTTAGCGACAGACAAAAAAAAATGGGCTTACCAGTGAAGGGAGTCGAAGAGCGATTGGTCAAACCCGATAATCCCTCAGTGATAAATAGACGAACCGCCGAAGCGTCGAGCGGTGGCAAATCCTGAATGAAAACGTAGAGATGAGGATGAATACGGGAGAATAAGGTCACTCGGGGTCAAGTAGAGTGAAGAGTTTCCTTACCTGTGCTTCAGTCGATTTGGAGCTCGAGGACGAGCCTAGTTTCGATCTCTCTGCTAGTCGAGCATCCGCATCTGCTTGGATCATCTTCTGGGCGGTCCCACTCGGCGACGATGCCTTCTTAAAATGTGTCAACACATCTCCCTTCGTTAATCTGCCCCGGAGACCTGTTCCTTTGATCTTTGTAGCATCTTTCACACCCCTAAAATTCCACGTCATCTATCTGCATCAGCTGTGATGTAATCATCATAGGCGGTGAGGTGAGCATCAATCAAGCGTACAGTTCATTCAAAATTCGGTTGACGGCGGGACTGAGGGGTAGAAGAGTTTTGAGGACCTGTCCTGGTGGGTTGGCCGTGGAGGTTTGGGATTGGTCGGTTGAGCTATGAGAATGAGCTTCTCCTTCTTGGGCACTCGCCGAGTTGTGATCACTAGACGTGGAAGAGTTTTGGGACTTCCATTCGGAGGGGACATCGGTGGTTTTGATATCTTCTTCTTGCTCTCCAAGGATTGCGATGACCTCTCCAACATTGATGGTCTTGGTGGTTGTTTTAGTGCCCGGACCGAAGAGCTGTGAGCCCATGTAGCCGTCGTCCTGCGCTTCCACATCGACCTCGGCCTTGTCGGTCTCGATCGTCAGTAGTACATCCCCAGCCGAAAATCGATCACCGGTCTTCACATTCCATTTCGAGATTTGGCCGGCTTCCATGGTTGGCGATAGGGCTGGCATCCGCAACGGCGAGATCGATTGGAGACTCGAGGTTCCATGTAAATAGGCTGCTGGAAGTCATGAACAGTTATCCAAGTGAGTTCTCTGTCAATCAAATCGAAGATAATAGATATGCTGCCAGCTCATCTGCTCACCGCGAGTTGAGGTTGAAGGATTCTTCAAGATTGTCCTATGGGCCGGATAGAGTCCCGTTCTCAGTAGTTGGGAAGGTGACCGGCCGAGCATGATGTTGATAAGTGGATTTAATGTTCGAGTAGGGTGGTTCCAGTTTTGCCTCGTCTCTTTCCGATGAAAGTTGATTGGGGTTCTCCACAGGCCATCCCCCGTGGCATCCGATAAACCACTGCCATCTCCCCCCGACAAACAACTTGCCCTCCACAGTTCCGACTTCCGCCTCCCATACATACTCCCAGCCAAGTCCTCCTGATCTTTCCCCTTATCAACTCAAGACAGGAGTCGGCTGTCGGCTCTCGAGGGTAGTGGAACGCCGCCGTGCACTACCACATAAGCATCAAGATGATACACAACAGAAATCCAAAAAACCATTTCATTCTGGATCATCAACTGGAACTGGCTCATCCAGGAAAATGACATCAATCCGTGTTTTGACAAGAATTTATGTGGAATATAAATTCAAGGGTTTTTTTTTCTCTTTCGAGGTTGCACTAATGCTGTTACCTAGTAATTATGATGATAACATTTCATCCAGGGGGATCAACACTTTTGCACAAGACTTGACTATGAAGTAGTCTTGATAAATTGTGACAACTTCTGGCAAACAGAGATGGGTAAGAGCTGAAGAAAACCCACAGACACCAGAGCAGACCGATCCAAGCAACACAGCAATGTGTTGTTCAAGACCCCAACAATGCTAAAGACGTTGATCACCCATCTAGGGCTGTCACAAGCCTCCCTGGAGGATTGTAGGTCTACGGCTTGGTCTTTCTCCTCTTAACCGGCAAAGTCATGCATTTAAACAAAAGGCATAAATATGTACATGGATGTCGCATGTCAATTGCTGAGACATGATTGTGAATAAAAGAATGATAATCGGATGGGGATGCTTGCTTGCTGTTAGAGTCAAAGGGCGTGTTGTTTAAGATAATCAACTGTCAGACCAACCCCATCTTGTTTGTCTTGGACAAAATAAACTTACCACAAAAAACAAAACAAAAAAGCTCGACAAGACATGATTCTTTTTATCCTTTCAGACTTCCGGTTAATCTTTGTTGAAGTTCATTGATAAGAAGATTATCCAAGCTATTCAAAGCAGTCAAAATCGGCTGACCACCCAGAGAAATTTTCTCTGAAATGATCCGATCCAATGTGTTCATTCTGACTGGATCTTGACTCAGTAACTGCACACAGAAACGATTTGATTAATTAAGGTCTCAAATTATGGAGGAGATCTGTTTTTTTATGAAAAAGTGGATCACGATACCCACTTCTTTAAGCCGCTTTCCTTCAGCACCCGCCTCAATAAATTGGTATTCATCAACTTCCTCAGTTTCATGAGCATAAGAATAAGTGTTTGTCCTTCATGTGACCAAAAAAAAGGGTTTGAAATCAGTCCACAAGTCTCAATTTCTTTTCTCAAATATCTCAAACAACTGACTTGGGGTTCAAGATCTCATCACCTTCAGCTAGCACGCTTGACCAGATCGAAACAAATGCAGCCAAGTTCGAAATGACGATTGGGTTGGGTAGGGTAACTAAACAGGCCAGGGCTGCAGCTATCAATTTTCGTTCTTGAGCTGTCCCTACATTGTCGATCTAACAAAACAAAGTCAGCGGACTATATCATTTCATTGTCACAAGCTTAGGAGTGATGGCTTACTCTATCGAGACATGTATGGCAAAAACTTGATAGAACATCTGTCGGTGAAATTCCTCTCCTATTTAAGAATCCGATCGAGTTGAAAAAACTTTGGACGTCGGTCACAATGATTCGACAAACGGTTAAAAGATGTTTGACAACTAAAATCACTTGGTCCTATTCAACAACACAATTGACCAAAAAAAATATCAGTGCAAAAAGAAACAAACTGAAGATAAGGGTTTTTGACTGACATCTGTTGAGGTGGATCTTTGCATCAATCGCAAGAAACAGTCTGATTCCTCAAACCAGGCTTGCCAAACAGAAGGGTTTGCACACTTGACGATACATTCGATGGATTGCAAGATTGTTTTAGTAGGGGCCAAGCCCATGGGCATACCCATCAACTGGGCGAAAGATTTCGACAGCAAACACCCGATGGTGTTTAAGACCGATTGACAATCCAACAGAAGATATGACTGCAAAATCTTGAGTAGAATCCCTAACGAGTCGCTCGCATCTCCGATTAAGGTGGCCAGGGCGAAAAGTAGTTTGGTCAGGCTGGGTGTCAGCGTCTCTGCCTGTCTTGCTATCGCTAGCCACAGGATCAGTCCATCCTCCTGTAAGTAGATCGACGAGGGATTGTTGGGGTTGATCGAGTGCTCAACAAACACAATGATCGTGGGATGATAGTCTTGAGAACTTGGTCCGATGGCCTATCGATCCATATAATTCATCCTTGTAAGTTCAATCCATAACTAATCTAAGAGGGACTTTTGAGTTGACTCACCTCGACTAGGGCAGATATTGTGACGATAATGGCGTTATGCAGATGGTTACCGATATTATTCTTACTTGGACTTTCGCCGACTTGTTGCCAAAGACAAGCCAATATGTTGACAAGCTCTAAGGCATAAGGAGTGATCTAAAAAGAGAGGACCATCATCAGCCAGGGCATGATGTGAGCAAAAAGGCCAAAAGACCTACATTCAAGCGAGCTTTCTCAATTACAAGTCGTAAGGTTTCGGTCAAGATCTTTTGACTTTCAAGATTTTCGACCGAACTTAGTAAACCGGAGATTTGTTTGATGAACATTTCAAGATGAGGTAGGATCGTATCGGGTTCAGGTTCAACGGCTTCCCAATTCGCGGTGGCTTTAAGCGCTCTACAAGTCGCAAGTTTGACTGCAATATCGTTGCTAGGGTTTTCTAAGAGACAGCTGAGTGCAACATAAACACTGCTTTGAAGCTTGCAATCCAAATCTTGCTTTGCAAATTGACCAAGCTGATAGAAGCAAGAGGATCAGATTATAAGCTGGGAGTCCAATTTCTTATGCTGAAAAACATAGGCAAACTTACTACCCAAGCAATCCGCCGTCGTAGAATCGCGCCACTAGTGAACAGAAACATAGAACAAATTACGATTCAGAATGAATGAGGATCAGATCAGACAGAATGTGATGATTCATACCTAGTTTCAGTTTGACATAATACTGGCATGAACTTCTGAGTTATCCAGTTGTCCAAGTTAAAGCCAGAGGATGCTTGAGCGAAATGATGAGCAGCCAAGCCAATTCCAAAGTAGATCGACTCATACTGAAGTAAAGTTGGTAAATCGTTTGGATCTTCATGGGATCAAGGAACAAGGAGATAATGATATTAACTTATTGGGTCCAGTCAGGGATGGCTGTTACGTATGGACATCTCCTACCTATAATTTAACGGTGGCCAGATTGATCTTTCCATCAGTCATTTTGGTAGGTTTGAAAAAAGAAACAAATTGAAGTAGGTTTCTGTACAGGTACCTTGAGCGTGTAAATCGGAGTATAAATGCAAAATAACGTTTGAGATCTCATGCGGATAACAACATAGAAGTCCAGTCAAGACATTTGCAGAGCATGAGCGGACATCGAATGATCTATTCTCTAGGGAACAATCTTCCTCGTTATCGTAAGCTTCCGAATCTTCGTTCCAGAACTGTAGCGAATGAGGCTGTAGTTTCAATAGCCTCTGAAGGATCGTCATCGCCAACTCCACAGACTGACTCGGACTCAGGTTTGAGCTACTTTGTCGATTGGTCATCCATAAACTCATGATTCGAAGAGATTGAATGATGATCCTTTCTGGATAAGCCGCCAAGCTTGCCGGCTGTGAATCTACTACTTCATACAAACAAAAAAAAAGCATTCATCAGATTAGCCAACTCAAACTCAGGAAGTGCCTTTGCATGGTAGGATAGAATAGAATCAAACAAGGAGGAACGGATACTGTACCGGAGTTGTGAGGGAGAAGGGTGCTGCCCTGTTCGACCATTTGCCAGACGGTTTGTTTCAGTTGATTTGAGAATTCGGAGGGGTTGAGATAGTTAGGATCTTGGTCTAATATTTGAATTAATAGTTTACCAAACTTGAAGAGATGTTTGTGCAATAGATCAAAGAATGATTTGATCTGTTGTAATGATGATGGATTATTTAGGATTGTCTTGTGGCTTGAGATCAGTCCGGTTAGGTTTTGTCGAATGTTCAGGATTTGTACCCATTGATTGATGGATTGCTTGAGGAAGTTCTGTCATCATGATGAAGCCGTTTTTTAAATAAGATAAAATAAATGTAATCGTTCAATTTGCAGGTGATTTTGGTTTTCTTGGACGCACTTTACAAAAGACTTACCGTAGGTAGCTCCTGTTTATGGGGTTCCTTCCATGCATAGGTACTCATCTGACTCAGAATTTTTAGACAGATCCTAGATAGCTCGATGACTGGTTGCGAGTGAAAGACGCTGGAAAGGTTCAAGGTAGTTTGTTGAGATAGTACGGCGGTCCACATGGAAAGAGCGGTGGAATAGACGTGATGAATGTGAGAGAAATGGGTGGAGGCAACCTGTTATCATCGACAAAATCATTCATCAGGACTTGTTTGTTCTGCTTTCTTCTTCGAATTAAATGCTTGACCAAGTGAAGAGGTAGACTTACCTCGCGAAGAAGAAGTTGGCCTCTGGCGGATCGATTGGTAATGAGGTTCTGAATGATTTGATAGAAACCTCCCAAGCATCCATTCAAGATATAAAAATTTGATGGATCCGTTGACCAGTCTGGTGAACCGATTACGTTTCGAATATGAAGAGTCAGGTCTTCAAATAAGTTAGAGAGGTTGGCGTCGAGGTTTGACTTTCCGATCTTGCCGACACAAAGCGTTACTTGTTTTCGTACCACGGAGTCCCTTTCGCCTTTAGCTAGAACGTTTTCGATCAGGGTTTTACCTAGTTCCACCTTAGCCGAATTTTCGATTTGTAGAGGACTGAGTTTGCGATACCAGCTATCGAGCGCATTTCGAATCAAGATAGCCGCCTGAGTCCTGAGTGGGCTGTTGGTCTCGTAGCTTGGTTGGGTGAGTAATTGGATCAGGTAAGGAATGAGCTGAGGGTTTTTTCCGTGGGTCGATACAAACGTGTAGGAGTCTTTTGGGTCTTGAAGGATCGCTTCGAGCTGTTGAACAGAGGGCTGAAAGTCGGGTTCCATGATTTTCGGTAGGAGGATGTGGTCGGCTAGGATGGTCACGCGAAGGGAGGCTCTGATCGAAGGTCGACTAGGGTGCAGTTGTTGTAAATAGTTTGATGATGATCGGTTGAATTATGGTGAAGAGACTCGAACTTCGAAGGAGTTGAGCCACCACTTTGGGCTCGGACCCCCGATACCCGAAGCTCCGACCTCGAGCATCCTGTTGATTCGGGGTGCGGTAAGCTTGAACGTTTCGGGGTGCGGTAACGGTCTGGCTGCGCTGAATTTGCCCACTCCCAGCTCAAATTCTCAATCGACCCCAGCAAATTGTCAAGTCATTCTCCAGGAAACGAAGCCAAAGAAAAAAAAAAACGAAGCCATGAATAATTTCGATGCCGATGACATCCAGCAACACATCCTGTCTGTTCTCGACTCGGCTCCGATCCCTGACACACGGAAGCTGAGTTACCCGAATGGATCAGAAGCAGACGCCGAGAGTTCATCCTCAGAATATCAACTAGCGATCAAGAGTGCCTTGGACAGTTTGGTCGCAAAAGAGGTACTTATAATAATCTTGTTGATTAAAATAAAAGCTGACTTGGCCTCAAACCGATCTCAATATTCCCTCAGATGGTCCTCTATCAGACTCATAACATTGAAAACCATGTACTGACTCCCGAGGGACAAGCCGTAGCAGCATCTGGAAGTCATGAATATCGTGTCTGGGAAGCGCTAGGAGAGGAAGGCTTACTGATGCGCGAATTGCAAAGCACGTTGGGTGAAGATTCTGCTAAGATCGGACAGGGGAAAGCGTTTCGGAATAAGTGGATCAAGAAGAGGTCCGATGGTGGATTCATCCGAGCAGTGAGTTGACCGAAAATATTGACAATCTTGTGTTATAAAATAAAACAGACAATCCAACATCAATGTAATCAAGTTTTAATCCAGATGACTGCAGATCAAATCATCGATCAGACTAAGTTGGATCTCGTCTCGATCGAACAAACTGGTTCATTACCCACCGATGATCCTAAAGGATCTGGTATGGCAGATTATCGTAAACGAAAGTTGTGCGAGAAACGGTAAGCCTCTTCATTTACATACAAATGGATTGTCCAGAAAGCTGACTAGTGGACGGAATTAACATTCACTCAATCCAAATAGAAAATACCTTTATTTCTCGATCGAGAAAGGGCCGAAGTTTTCAACTGTCATTGAGCGACCGGAGACTGATCTAACAGTTGAACTCTTGACATCGTCAGTCACTCTATCATCTTACCAGTCACCATGGTACAACTAAACAAAAAAAAACTGGTTGCTGGTTTTTCTCATCAAATAGCGGGAGATGGAAGACGGCCACTTTCAAGCCCTACAATTTCAACGCCGAAGGTGTCCCACCAAATGCTGGGGCTCTGCATCCCCTGATGAAAGTCCGGGAAGAGTTTCGGAATATCTTCTTTGAAATGGGGTTCGTTTTAAACACTCATAATGCCAATACCGCTTCTTGAAGCCAAAAGAATTTTTTTTTAATGTTTGATCGAAAAACATAGATTCACGGAAATGCCGACAGATAAGTATATCGAAACTTCCTTTTGGTGTTTTGATTCTCTTTTCGTCCCTCAACAACATCCAGCTCGTGAATCCCAAGATACCTTTTATCTGAAAGGTCAGGCTTTATTTTCTCTTATTTCTACTTCGCAAAATCGTGTGCTCACATGTCCTGCTTTTTTTACCAGACCCGGTGGCATCGACTGATTTCCCAGCCGAGTATTATGAGAAGGTTAAGAAGATTCATGAATCAGGAGGCCACGGTTCGATTGGTTATCGAGCCCCGTTTCAAGAATCAGAAACCGCTAAACTAGTCCTCCGTACACACACTACTTCAGTCTCGGCAAATATGCTCTACCAGATTGCTCAGGAATGTCAAAAAAATCAGGAAGACTTCAAACCTAGTAAATTGTTTAGCATCGATCGTGTGTTCAGAAATGAGGCAGTCGATGCTACCCATCTCGCCGAGTTCCATCAAGTCGAGGGTGTCGTCGCAGACAAAAATATCACTCTTGGAGATCTAATTGGTACGTTCTTCTTTCTCGTTTTTTGGGAAAACCCAAATTGTGAAACCCTTTTTTGATTCGAAATGGATCTTCAGGATTCATGGAAGTCTTTTTCGCCAAAATGGGTATTCATGACATCAGGGTCAAACCGACCTACAATCCTTACACAGGTACTCAATTTCTTGTTTTCTCATGTCCGGTCAGATAGTGAACTCATTGTAGTGGTTTGAACAAAATACACAAAAATAGAACCTTCAATGGAAATTTACTCTTGGCACAGCGGGTTGAAGAAATGGGTTGAGATCGGTAACTCCGGCCTCTTCCGTCCTGAAATGCTCGGTGAGTCTCGTGTTCCTTCAATCTGTTTTTTTGTTCAAAATTTACCAGTTGTTAAATTGTTTTGAGTTTGATTCTGTAGAGCCAATGGGTCTTCCACCTGATGTCCGAGTATTGGGATGGGGCTTATCACTCGAAAGACCAACGATGATCAAGTAAGTTCCTTTGATTGCTTTCTGGCGCCTCCAAGTGCTATTCCGTTGCTTAATTTGATCTTCATAGATACGGTATATCAAACATTCGAGAGCTGTTGGGACACAAGGTTTCGCTGGCCAGTGTCCAGAAAGCAGCGGCAGTGAGATTTTGATGCACAAGTGTGATTCAGTTGAATATACCTCTTTCACCATTGTTTAACATCAACATTTGCCAAGCATAGCTATTCTCCAGTACATAACTTCATTCAAACACTTGAAATTCTCATAACTTTTTGAAAACATAATGGCTTTGTAGACACTTGTCTCAAAACTTCCTTTTTTGTCCTGTCTTCTTTGTCATCATTTATCAAAACAGAGAAATATGTTGAGACAGACAGGAGAGATAATGACTGAAGCTCACAGACAGATTGTCTCTGACACTTGAGGAGTGAGAAAGAAGTTATGGTTCTGATTCACTAAGGAAGAACTTGCTACAGTTGCAAACAGCAACGACTGACCATAATTTCTTTTGGGGGTCCAGTCAATTGGGGACCAAATCTTTGCAATTTTTATTCATTTTTTGGGTGAGGATTCCCCAGATTCAGAATGATGTATTTCCTGAGATGAATTCAACCAGCCAAGCTTCCTGCGTGTTCAGAGTGCTCTACTCTAGTGGTCTTGGGCTGCCTGTGGTCTCCTGAAAGGCTGCAGGTTTGCTCTTCTCGGCACTTTTATAACCCTTGGGTATGTGTTACACACATGTGCTTTTGTAATGTGTTGCCTTCCTTGAGCCATAAATTAACCTGTAAGTCCATACATATGTACTTATACTGGTATTTAGAGACCAGATCCAATGGGTCAGAGAAAAAACAGAACCATTGGTTGGATGCCTTAACCAAGTTAATTCTGAACTCCCCTTGGTCTGAAAGACTTGAAATTGTGGTCAGCTGGGGGGTTGAGCCCATGTGCCCCCTATGGTCAGTATAGGTTATTGATGTTTGCAACTCTGGACTAATCCTGAGAGGAACTATTTGCAGGATTTGTCTTGCGGTTTGGTTTCCAACACACCCCTTGCTGAGAATCAAAGCATATATTCAAAAAAGGAAAAAATGAAAAAAATCACTACGTGGAGCTTAGTTGTGAAAAAAAATCTCTTAAAGGCTGTTGAGATACCTGTAACATGTCACTGTTTGTCTCATGTTCATGTATGTTAGTGTGCTTTATTCCGATTTCATTTCTCTCATGTCACACTCTGTGGCACTCAGTTGGTTTCTCTCAGCTCTTATACTGGAGTCATCTGTGTTTGAGAGGATCTCCTTTTTCCTCATCCTTTCCAACACTTATGTCTCCAGGTATGTCTTTCCTCTTGTTCTTCTCATTTCTTCTCTCTGCTTATGTCAAAATGAACATCATCCTTTCCTACACATATGTCTCCAAGTCTTCAGGGTGTTCATCTCAACAAAGGGGACAGAAATAGAAAGAAAATCAGGCTACAGATCTGATGAACAGAAGGAGAAGGGAACTCTCATGATAATCATTTTATTCTTGAAGCAAACCTTCATGCAGAATTAGCCATCATTTAGCACCATATTTGTGCACCCTACAAATCAAGCGATTATTCTACTTCAGACATTCTCCCAAAACAACATTGATCTCCTCATCAAAACTGTCAGAATCCAACCACCAAAGACTCAGCTCTAACTGATGCAGTCAGTCTGTTTATCAATGGGTGCCGTGACAAAATATAATACAGTCCCTTGCTTGTTACTATGACCTCAGGTAGCAATGAAGCAAGGGATCTACATGGCCAAGTTGGTCATGAACCAAATAATACTTCAACCTTCTTCTCAGGCAGGGTCAAAATCAAACTTATCACAAGTCTCACTGCGGTGGGCGCGTCTGGCAGCGTAGCTCTGGCCAGGCGGTTCCCAAAGGGAACTCCCCGCAGGGGAGACTCTGACTTAACTAAGCCTCCCGGAACGGGGTTGCAGAGCACCCCGATGCGGAGCATCTCCCATTCCCAATGGGAGGCTTATGAGCTATTGCTGCTTGGCATTGTGAGGTCTTTGAAAATTTTGTGGCTTTTGTCACCAAAATTCATGGAACACAACATTGCTCATCACTCACACATCATGAGACTTTGTCATCAAGACAGGGAGATGAGTGAGCATCATGTCTTCAATGTGCCTTAAAGAGAATGAGGATTACACATGATCCTGAGCTTCCTCCTGGCTCAGCAGTTCCAGAGGCTCTTTGATTAGAAGTATGGGATATGCTCTTGATCTTGATACACATCAGCTGTATCAAAAGCCTTGGCCGCCACATTTGGTCCCATCTTGATAATCTGTAAGTGCTGAGGGGGTGGTGACCAAATACTTAAAGAATTTATAAGTCCGACATCTTTTGTGGTCGTAGTCGCTTTTGACCTTACGGCTTGCCAATTTCACCGACTCATTTGGATCTACTCGTCAGAAACATCTCAGCAACATCTTGGCCTCCGTGAGAGCCTTGACCAAGACCAGTGTTGAATCAACGGCCGGCTCTGCCCAATAGCGCCGTTGGTAGGCTAAATCCAAGTTTTCAGATTGTAAGAAGTGCAGCAAGAATGACTTTGGTGTCATCTTGCAAGGTAACAATTGGAGCAATTCACAAACCGTGATCGCTTTGGCCTCCATAGTATGAGAGCTCAGTAGTGCCGGGAATTCAGCTGTTGACAATTAGGCAATGGGACAAATGGGATGATCTACATACTTATTGAGGCATGAAATCAATCATCCCAAGCAATTCAAACAACCCTTACGGATTATCTAGCAGAATCTCTAACCTTTCCTCATTTTAATGTGTATGTACTATGTTTCATCATACAGTTTCATACAAAAGATGGTGTGGTGTTCGTTGGAATACGTTTCAGAAATACAGAATTGGATGGAGGTCAAACCAACCTCAATCCTAAACTTCATGGCCAAATGAAGGGGGGATGCGACAAGCAGTCAACTTGTGTTGACCATGGAAAGAAACGGAAAAATTCCCTCTTCATTCCAGTCCTGAAGGCAGAAAGCCAGTGTCTGAGGAAGACAGTTGAATCACGGGGGGAAAGTGCTACCACTGAAAATGGCCAAAGCCCCCAGGCCAAATGTGACACATGACCTGCAAGTCCCTCCTTCGGAGGCTTGCTTTGCGAGGGGCACTTTTAGAGATGGCCCCGGCGCATCCGGATATCCATTCGGATTCGGATATCCGCTCACGTTGTGGAACTTTTCAAGCTAAAGAAAAGAGCTTAGAGGGGAAAAGAACAACTACACAGGGGAAAATGTGAGCTGAAGACTTGGATGCTGATGAAGCTGCAATCTTGTCAAGGCTTGGGAGAGAGTTACACTAAGAATTAAAGAAAAGGTGTGGCTATTTCTGTGGGTAATCTTAGTATGAGATTTATTACTGATGTCTTGTACAAGTCACCTGCTGAGAGATTGAGGATGTGGGGATTCTGGTAAGGATGAGGCTCTGGGGGATAATGGTTTCTGGGTTCAATTTCTTATCTTCTGGGGGAAAATCAATAATAATTACTTCTGGTAACTACTAGTAAGTGATGTCTGCTAAGTAATTATCTGTTTACTTCTCTAATGCAAGCATGGGGAACAAAGTAAGTGGGAAAGGGTATTCTCTATATACATGTGGGTGGTTCTGATCAGATACTAGTGGTAAGATATCAGCTGATGTAAGAAGATGGTATGAAATAAGTTGTATCTGAAAGACAATTGGTTATGAAATAAATGTAGCTGACAAATGTGTAGTGTGAAATAAACATGTTGAAAAGGAGAAAATATGAAGTAACTTCTGTTTGTGATAAAAATAATATGTAGTGCAAAAAGAAATGAGATAATCAAAGACTGAAATAAATATTCTGAGGTGAGATGAGAAATCTGTGTGGTGAAATATGTATGTAGGTGATATAAGCAATGAGTAATGAGTTGAAATGAGATGTATGATGAGAATGTAGGTGATATAAGCCATGTGTATTGAGTTTGAAATGGAATGTAAGAATGAAATACTTGTAGTATGAAATAAATGTAGAATAAAATAAATGTAGAATGATGTAATTGATGTATGAAAAGAAGTGGATGATGAGTGAGATGAGATGACAATATCTGGATGGGAATTCAGATGTATGGGATGAAACTGTATATGTAGCCTGAATAAGTGATCTGAGATGAAATAAATAACATTTGCTGAAAGATTATTATCATAGAAAGAAGGTACTGAGGGAAGACTAATTTGTATCTTGAGATGTGTGATATGTAGTATGTTGTAGCTATGTAGTACTATATATTATGTAACCAAACTATGTGTAAGAATACTATTTTGTAACCTTCTGAACTGGATACAAGATAATGGCTATGTAGCATATGAATATCTGGTTGTAATAACATGAAAACTACTGTAAATAGCTTTTTTGTACTATATATGACCTTGATTGGTCTCACCACAACGTTTTCAGCAAAATCAGACATCCGCATCCGCATCCGAATCCGCTGGCGGGTATCCGCGCGGATATCCGCGGATATCCGCCCCTTAAATGACCCCTAGGGTGCAAAATGAATGTTCCTTGGGGAAAATTCAGATTTGGGGAGCTGCATAAACAGCAATTTTGAAGTCCTTGCAGCCTGTAAGCCTTCAATTTTTTTTTTCTTTTTTTTAATTAATTTTTTACCACTTATTTTTCATGTTTTTTTGAAATTTTAAATTTATTTCCTAGGTTTTAAAATGCTCAGAATTTTGTGGTAATATTAAATTTCTTTAGAAATCAAAGGATCACTTTGAAAATTCCAATCGAGCACATTTTTTCAATTAATTTATTACAGCTTATTTCTCAATATTTTCTGACATTTTATTTTTTTTTTCCTACAATTTAAGACATGTAAAAAATTATGGTAATGATTATTTTACATCAAAATGAAAATTAATTCTTGAATATTATATTTGGCATGTATTTTTAACTAATTCTTACAGGCCTGATTCCCATTATTTGTTGGAATTTTAAATTTATTTCCTCAATTTTGAAAGGTTTGAAAATTGATGGTTATTTCAGTTTTGCATACAAATAAAATTGGTATACAGCACAAATTATGCAAGAAACAAGGTAAACTCATATATTAAGATTGGAGCTTTTATTTTTGGGTAACATGAATAATACCATAAGACTTGAAAACTCTCAAAATGTAGGAAATGAATTTAAAATTCCAAAAAATAATGAAAATTAGGCCTATAAGAATTAATTAAAAAAACAATCCAAATACAATATTCAAGAATTAATTTTCATTTTGATGCAAAAGCATCATTACCATAATTTTTTGCATGTCTTAAAGTGTAGGAAAAAAAAATTAAAATATCAAAAATTATTGAGAAACAAGCTGTAAGAAATTAATTGAAAAAATATGTTTGATTGGAATTTTCAAAGTGATCCTTTGATTTCTAAAGAAATTTAATATTACCACAAAATTCTACGCATTTTAAAACCTAGGAAATAAATTTAAAATTTCAAAAAAACATGAAAAATAAGTGGTAAAAAATTAATTCAAAAAACACGCCCAAACGCAGAATCTGTGCTGCGCGCATCAAAAACTGTGTTTTTTATTAAGGCCCTTATTTTATTTGTTATTTTATTTGTTATTTTGTTTTTTCTTTGTTTTTTTCTTTTTTCCCTCCTATATGGGCGGATATCCGCTGGGATACCCGGATATCCGCCAGGATTTCAGGGGAAAGGGGACATCCGCATCCGCTGGCGGGTATCAGCTGGCACTGGCGGATATCTGCCAGCGGATAGCGGATATCCGCAACGGATATCCAGAGACCATCTCTAAAGTAGTACAAGTGTGAGGAACACTTGGAATGGGGAGGCTTTAATATGAAGAAAAGAGATAATAAAAACTGTGGTCTTCCAAGCCTGTCTGGGAAACCACCAAAGTTTGGCCAAACAAGGCCAAGCACGCTAGGCCAATCCCAAAGCCCACTTGCCTGATCCTAAACTAGGGGGTATCAAATATAGGAAATCCACCATCAGAAACCAGTCACTTTTCTAAAAACTTTTTTTTGCATAAATGGGCCCCAAAAGGGGTTAAATGGATAACCAACATGTTTAAAAAAGGGTGGATTTTTTCAAACCAGTCAATTAAATAATGGTGGATTTGGTTATATTTGATACCCCCTAGTGTGTGTGGAACCCTCTCAACACCCGCTTGGCACATGCCAAATTTGGCAGGTTCAGGACAAAGCCTTGCTTGGCCAAAATCAAGTAAGGGTGCCATGCCCACCAAAAGTTGTTAAGAATATGACAAATCATGTACTGTAGTATTTGTATGCTTATAACTAGATATGCTTCTACCAAGCATCCCACTACTACTTCTATGCCGGCCTCACTTAGTTCATCTCCTTACCAAATAACAACTCTATTATTCTCACTGTCATATCCCCATTGTGATTCTAGACATCATTGCAGATATTCAGTCCCTGTCTCCCCCAACAGGTTATGAGACCCTCTTAGTCTTGCTCTTACATACACTTGATTTTCTTTTTAACCAAAGGTTATCAACTGGTTCATATTGATTTTTGGCTCCGCTCAAGACGATTCCACCTTGGTCTTTCACTACGCTTGGGACTTTGTCCTATTCACTCTTACCGGACTGCTCCAACTATGTCTGGCTAATGACAAGTACAGAATGTTTGCTCTCTGATCTCCACGATTGAATCCTTATACAGCACCGCAGCAGTCTTTCCTCAATGGAGATCTTGTCTTGAGGATGTCCTTGGGATGCAGAACACTCTTGATATTAAGAAAGGATTGCTTCCTTGTCCTAAGGAAGAAGCAAAGGAAGTCAGCTCTAACACTCGCGTGGCAGACTCAAGAGGATACAACCCAAAGGAAAGAAAAGAAGATTGGGACACATTATCAGAGATGGCGTGCTCAACTATCCGTCTAACATTGACTGATCCCCTTGCTCAATGCTATCGCAAGGCCAAGCCCGCATCACGTCTCTTCAGCACTATTGTCAGCCTGAGTGATGCCAAGAGTTGGTCTCTTCTAGCTACGCCAGGTTCAAAGCTAAGAAAAATGGTATACAAGTGTGGGTAACACTTGGAATGGGGAGGTGTTTGATATTAAGAAAAGGAAATAATAAAAACTGTTAGGTTTTTATAAAAGGAGGGGCCTGAGTTACAGTGGTTTTTATGGTGCCCTCCAATGAATCAGGACCTGTTAAACAGGGGAATTTTTGATGTACCTGATGATCTGGTCCTTTGTGTAAAGGAGTATGCCCAGACAAAATGTCTACAACTGAAGTATCAAGGAAATATTACCTACTTAGTACTATTTCCAAGCCGAGGGGACTTCAGGTGGGTGAAAACTGGTCTGGGAGCACTCAGAAAACTGGGTAACAGGTGGTGAGAGAGTTTTGGGGAACAGTTGATGGTTGGGTTGGTGATATCCAAGACAGAAACAGCAGGAACTGGGCCAAGAACAGGTGAAAAAACTGGTTGTTGGAGGTGGTTATTGCTGGTAAATGGTAATGAAGATGGGAAATTTGAGTTTGTGGTCAAGAAGTGCTCCTTATATACTCATTCTGGGCTCTTGGAGGCAAACTCATTACTCTGTTTGGCTGGTACAACCCTCATACTAGGCATTGGTGACATGTAGCACTGCCTAGGCACCTGTAGTCCTTGGTTACAGGTGTAAGAGGGCTGAAGTGAGGCTTGTAACACACACTAAGGGGTGCTGTGAAAAACCTGCAACCATGTTTTGGTCACTGAGAACCTTTAATGTGTTAAATGTCAAACTAAAGTTTTGTATTTCTGATCAGTAAGAAATACAATAAGAAACAACAATCAATAAGAAAGATATAAGAAAGAGAATTGTACCTAAAGGCAGGAGCAACTGAAACAAGGGACGCGAAAAGCAAAAGCAACAAGGAAATGGAAAACAAAGAAGAACTAAAGATGAAGATATGTCAGTTGGGATCTAGTTGAGTCGTCAAAAGAGAATTGAGCCAATGACCTACGACGATAGGAAAGAAGATTGAATTGTGCTGAATATCGGCGGAAGGTCGGAAGGAAAGGGAAGCACACAAGTACGCAAAGGAAGTGCAATGGTCGGCGGTTAGTCGAATAAGAAGGGAAGTGTATGAGTACGCGAAGGAAGTGCAATGGTCGGCGGTTAGTCAAATAGGAAGGGAAGTGCACGAGAAGCGAAAAAGAGAAATAATGTGGTCGACTTCTAGCGATAGAATATAAGGTAGTCGATTTGAGAGTCAAGGTAAGTGATGAATCCGAAGACTTAAGAAGGAGTAGCAAAGTCTTGATAATGATTTTAAGGATTCATGGGGAAGAAAGAGAGCGAGCGAGTTTACGAGAGAGGTTCTTTTATGTCAGACATCATCGATGATGTCATTAGGAAAATGACTGAGGATTATGTAATGAGGGCCTTTGGAACAGTCCTGCTAGAGTTCTAGAGGGATCGAGCTCAGATATCAACATAATGACCAGTGGGCTGGTCCTAACCAGGCGTAGTTAGCCAAATTGGGCCAAAAAGGGCCACAAATGGCTTTTGACCAGCCAGTTACAGTTGTTGTGACAATGTAGTCAAGGTTTCAATGATGTAAACCTTATTTATAGATTTTTCCCAAACTGCATGAACCTTAATTACATGTGTAGACCTGTCACAACATGTAGTATGATGTAACTGGGAGGGTTTATAGCAAAATGAACAAGTGTCATTCAGAGTACACAGAAGTACACGAAGAAGTAATAATTAAGGGGTACCTTTGGTGAGGTACCCTAGGTTATTTTGCATGAAACGTAAGAATATGAAATGATATCCTAACTTTTGCTTGAGGTTCAGAAGTTATTTGTAGATTCATGTTAAAAATGTTTATTTATAAATGTTTTTTTGGTTTATTTTCCTTTATGACTAGTAAAACTTAATGCAATGAGTAATAATGTCTCTATTATAGTGATTCCACTTATTTAAATATTTAATGTTGTTATATGTGCATATGTAATAATGTCTCTATCTTATGTACATATAAAACAGACATTAATTACATATTCTATGGGGGTAGTATGTGTAATAATGTCTCTAAATATTTAATATGCTATGTTCAGGTTGTCTCTGAACAGTAGCAGGACGACAACTATTTTCAACGCTTACAAGAAGAAAACCAGGGCCCATTGCATCCGCTTACAAGAAGCATTCTGGAACGCACAACACAATTCCAACAAGCCAATTGCGTTCTGGATTGGCTGCTGACAAGCTCCTCTCCATTGGAAAACTTCCAACCAACCGTCAGATTGCCAATTGTCTAGTTGGTGGTTTGGATCCCTTGTGGTCAGCTATTCACGATTCAATCGCCTACACAGCAATTGAAATGACCCTGGACAATACCATTGGGGCGTTAGACCATCTCCACCCGGGGAGGTAAACTGCGCAGGTAAGCCAAATTTACCTCCCCAAGCCCAAAATTCCCCTGCCACCGGGGGTGCTAAAGGGGAGGTAAATATAGTTTTCCCCCCCCTTGGGTTGTATAGCATTGCTAGATGTGCAATCGCTATACCAACCCAACGGTTTCACAGGGTCATCCTGGTGAAATCCGGACTTCCCCCCCTCTGGGGAGGGCCTTTCACAAACCAGGAGTGTGGATAGCACCCTGCGGTGGAAAATAATTTTTCGGAGGGTTGCTATTCTTCTGCCGCAGTCCCCGAGTTCATAAATTTACCAACTCAGATGACTCTGCGCGGTGGAGATGGTCTTAGAAGCTCACGAGGTCAGTTTGAATGGAACCAACCAGCATGATCTTGTCTCGGCTGACTCAGAGAAACAAATAGCCTGCTTCAATTGTGGAAAACACGGTCATCAATCATCCAAATGCCGCAAGAAGACCAATCATAAAACTAAAGCCAGCACTGCGACCACAGTCAAACCAGGCAGCTACGAATCCAGTTCTTTTGGTGATGATGAAAAATTCAGTGTGATCTCCAAGTAACTGAAGCTGTTTGTTGTCACAACTTAATTTTTCTTTGTACACTAGATGATAACTCTTCTAAGCCTACTTGTGGTCATCCACCATACACTGGTGCAATTTCCTATATTTATTAAAATCTATTTAACTGATCTGTGCCCGGGGTAGCTTGCTTGATGGTCTTGTAGGTAGGTAAAATAACTGTTCTTTCTCTGGTTTGGCTTGTAATACTCTAACTCTTTTCTATCTCTAACAATTCTTTAGGCTAATACACGATTCACTCCTAAGTCACTTTGTTTTTCTGATATGTTCTGAGTCATAAGTCCCCCCCCTTTTCCTCCCCTTCTGCTCCAGACTCCAACTCCGCCAGCTATCCCACACACATGTTCTCCCCTTCTTCCCACACTGTCCTCTGCTGTCACTCCCTCACACCCGGCTTGTCACCCCTCCAACACCTGCCAGTCCATGTACTCCTCCGGCCGCTGTTCAGACAGGTCTCCCACCGCCACTTCCGCCTCTGGTCCGGTCTTGGTTATCAGCCAGGGGGGATGTTAAGATGACAAATCCTGTACTGTAGTATTTGTATGCTTATAACTAGATATGCTTCTACCAAGCATCCCACTACTACTTCTATGCTGGCCTCACTTAGTTCATCTCCTTACCAAATAACAACTCTATTATTCTCACTGTCATGTCCCCATCATGAGTCTAGACATCATTGCAGATATTCAGTCCCTGTCTCCCCCAACAAAAGTGAATGCACCCCCTCCCCTTAACTCAAGGGGTGCATTGACCATGTGCAGTGCCCTCCCAGATGTATATAGCCAATTTGTTTGGATTACACAACCCTAACCCACCAACTCGCAATCATGAGACTTGGGCAAGTGGTATAAAAGAGGTCTCAAAAATAGATTCTGAAGAAAAAAATATGAAAAACTGATTTTTAAAATTTGCAAAAAATATTACTATTATTGCACTTTTTTCAAAAGTCTCAATAGGGGGTATCAAATATAGGAAATCCACCATTAGAAACCAGTCACTTTTCCCAAAACTTTTTTTTGCATGAATGGACCCCAAAAGGGGTTAAATGGATAAGTTTAAAAAATGGTGAATTTTTTTTGATCCAGTCAATTAAATATTGGTGGATTTGGTTATATTTGATGCCCCCTAATATTGCTCCAAATGAAAAAATAAAGATTGGAACTTGGAGCATGGTATGCTGGAGAAATGATAATAAATTAAAATTATGATAAAATAACTACCAGATGGTTTTAAAATGGTGTGGAGGGAGACATTCATCAGTGTCACAGTGGAAAAAACAGTGGAGGAGGCAGTGCTATCAAATTCAACTTGTGTTTTGAGCTGGATAATGAGGTCCAAGTAATTTCTGGTGTTGATTTTTTTTCATTTATTATCATTCTTCTTGAATACCATACCAATCTTTCCAATTTTTTTTTTTTTTTTTTTTTTTTTCATTTGGAGCAATATTAAGACTTTTGAAAAAAGTGCAATAATTGTAATATCTTTTGAAAATTTTAAAAATTGGTTTTTGTTAGGGTTCTTCTGAGGGGAGCAACAAACTCCAAGTTCAAAGTTTGTGACATTTACGTAACAGGCTCTCTACATATGTAAAATCCCCATTTCCAGTCCTCCACAGCTCATAAGACTATCCCCCCTTTAATGCCCAGGCCGCCCCCGTTGTTGTTCTGAAAAAATTTACTATGGATAAAAAATAAAAATAAAATTCCTCCTCTTTTGGCTCTGCATTCTTTCCCCAGGCAGCATTAAAAAACCTAGTGGGAAAAAGCTTGCCCTCTCACCAGGAAAAAAAAGTTGGAACCTGCATGCAGGTGCCTTTATTGTATCCCTGGTGTATGTTCAATGTCACTTGTATTGTATCCACCAAATCCAAGCTTAATATCTAAACTTCTATCTCAAAATATATCTCAGTAATATCTTGTACATATCCACGACTGATTTTTATGGCGTAATATCTATATTCCTGGCCATGTGATCATGTTTTAGAATATGTGCTTTCAGGTTACTCTTAATTGGCCATCTCATCCAGCGGCCACCTGGGAATGGGCCAGCCAGCCATTTTTCAGCCCCAATCATTCTTCAAACATAGTTTCCTTTCAAATTTGGATGTTATGTGATTATGATTAGCAATCCTAACACAATAGTATTGAATTGAATATATATTCATTCAATTCCAATAATGAAAATCACTGTCCCATGTGGGGTTAATTCAAGTAAGAATGCCTTTTTAAAGACACCAAGGAATCAACAAAGATTTGGAAATGACTACCAAATAAACAATATTTATAGTCTGATTATATAGTAGGCAAAACTTTAAAGTGAAAGTTGGTGAGCTACAGATTCAAGGATATTTAGATTGTGTTATTTGAAAAATTCAGAACATGTTTCTAGAGAACCAAAATGATTTCAGGGAAGCTACACTTTTGCTTTACATAATATTCCCATGACCAAAATCCTTTTCCTTGTGTTAACAGATTATATTCATCCAGAACTGCCCAATTTAGAGGTGTGATATGGTTGTGAGATTTTGAAATCACAATCCCTTAAATGGTATTTTATATAATAATATTTGAAAAAGAAAATAAATATATCCATATATCCGGAAGAACAGAATCCAAAAGCTTATTATATGTTCAAAATGAATTGTCATATTGTTGAACAAGGGGTAATTTCCAAAATTATATTTCAGCTGATTTGAGGCAAAGTCTTTTCAAGCCAAAACTTGGGTAATTTGAAAAATACTTTGCAGAGCCCAGGCATAGTTTTGAGTTCTCTTCTGATATATGATAAATAATGCACTTGATCATAAGCATATTATTGATCAAAAGGGATGGAGAAGATGGCTAGAATAGAATAGGCTTGGAAGCTCACATAGGATCAGTTTTTACTTTTCAGATTCTATTTTTCTTGTATTCATGCCTCACATATCCCACTGAGCAAATATGCACTTTTTTCTTCTCTCAGTAGCAGAGAGAATGCAGTAGCAAAAATTGAAAAGGCTATTTTTTCAGGTTGTCTAATTTTTCAAATTGTGCTACCATCTCCTTACCAGTTTTGGTTCTGGAATTGATAAATCTGATAATGTTTTGATTTGCTGGATATATCTTGCATTTTTTATGTGAATTTGCAACACTAGAGTATATCAAATATAGCAAATCCACCATTGGAAACCAGTCACTTTTCACAAAACTTTTTTTTGCATCATAGGGCCCCAAGAGGTGTTAAATGGATAACCAATGTATTTAAAAAAGTGTGGATTTTTTCAAACCAGTCAATTAAATAATGGTGGATTTGGTTTCATTTGATACCTCCTACTATTTTGATTAATTAGTGCTGTTCTTGTGATTAAAATTTATTTCAATTTGAAGATTTTCTAGTTTCTTGGGTTATTACCTTTTAATCAAGCAAGTATCCACTTCAATTTATTTATGTACCAAGAAAATAGATGTACTTAAGGAAAATAATTGTATCAAATGAATTTTGTTCACATTGGGGTTTTAGTGAATACATAACTCCCAGAATGTATGTAACTGTGAATAACATTTCATCTGTTTTTCAGATTGGTTTATCAAGGTGAATCCCCCTACTCAGTATTTCAGACAATTTTAAGACTCAGATAGAAAAATGCCTGGTTGAAGATTTAATGGAGGACTTCCTGTTGGATCTGGGACCCTCGCAGAAGTCGATCTAGACACCAAAACTCTTAATTCTCGCAGAGAAATTTGAATTTCGCCGCTCTAAACCGACTCTGGGAGACCCGCAGATGTCGACGGGAAGTCCTCCAATTCAACCAAAAAATAAAGGCTTCACTGCCCAAAAATCATCAAATTCAATGGCCCCAGGGCTTTAAGAAATGATGAAAAAACGCGCATTATTTGATGATAAATCCAACAATAAGCATCTTTTGAGCTTATTCCAGTAATTTAAATAGCTCAAATTGACTGCCACTATGTATCACAATTTGCTTAAATGAGGAAAATTAAATACATAACCAAAGCAATCAAGGAAATTAAAGTCTTTGATTCAAAAAAACAAGCAAACATAAATAGATTTATAATCATATAAAAGTAGTTAAGTTGATTGAGAGCATGGTAAGGAGAATTTTCAAAAGGATTTTAATCTTTCATATTTCTTTCTCCGATTCATTCTTTCCACATCCACAACTGTAGAAATGAACAGTAAAATAAAGAACTTTGCTCTGTTGCAAGTTTATAAATGCAAAAAGAACAAGGGTTAGATTTGAGCTTGTAATTTGTTTGAAAGATGGGTATGGTGATATATTTATGTAGGTCAGAAAAAAATAATGCAACACTCATTTTCAAAGTTTTTATTGAGCAATCAGCCAGTTGAAATCACAATTTGAATGATCTCTTGGTTTTTTTAGATTTTGGAAGGAAATCCTAGCCTGATTACCAGTCAAATTGGGTGTGATTGGCATGGAAACATGTAAAGGATAACAGTCCATGAATGAATTAAAATTATGAATGAAAGGAAATTTTATTCTTGGAGTCTTCAGGGAAATATTATGCATGTGAATTCATGCAATTAATTTATCCCCAATCATCCAAGTATATCAAATTCAGTGAAATGTACAAAAAAATTCAATAGTTTCCCCCTGAATGATGTGAATTGTACAAAAAAATTCAATAGTTTCCCACTGAACAGACAATTTGGAGTTCCGCTATAGACCAAGGTCCATATACACCTCCACTTAGGCCTTTTCACGACCACTGCAACCTAGCCCCCCAACCCTAGCATAGCTAGAGCACTTGGGCTCAGTGTCCAGCCCATGTCAAGGCATGGGTCAAAAACACTGGACATGAAAGCCCCCAGCCACAACAATTGAAGCAGGCAAGTGGGGGGCTAGCGCATTAACTTCCAAACCGTACAAGTGTAACAGCGGGAAGCGGAAGGATTAATATTATAGAAAACTTTACTAAGCAAGCCCTCAATTTATACCCCTTGCACCTCCAACTTTTTACTCA